TCTTGTCTTTTATTTTGACTCTTCTTAGACTTGCAGTTAGCTTGAAAACTTGATGCAGAAAGAATCATCAATCACTTACGATTGTTTTGTGCTGGTGTAAAGAGAGTGGCTTTCACTACTGTCTTGGTTCAAAGAGAATTTTGAGTAGTTCCATTCAGTTCTAACACATCAGGATGTTGGGGATTTCTCTTTTACCTTACCCATAGCATCCACTTTGGTGCTCCATCTTTCTTAGATGGTGTATGACTTATAATTGTCCTGTGATATTACAAGGGAGCTTGACCATCTGTGGTGGCTAGCTGGAAGCACACAAAGTCTAATGGTACAGATGGTCATTACTTGTGCTGGACAATCCCTGGGCAAAATATAGGCTACTTTTGAAGTGACATCCTTCCTTAATGCCAATGGGCAGGACGGCTAGGTTCAGGCTATGAATAGTGCTTGCTTGAGTGGAGGCTAAGCACTCTATGGACATGGGCTTTCCTCCAACACCTTCAGGTCTGCCCTCTAATCCCCCAACTTCCCGTTCTAAGACCCTCTTCTCTGTTCCTTATCACATGCCCAGTCAGGAATCCCTTTTCTTTTGGGGGGACTGCTCTTGTTCATGATATTTTCTTCCAAATTCTTTGCTTATACCACAACTCCTTTCTGAAAGCAGGGCTGGCTTCATGAGTTTGTGATCTGTGTAACTGCACAGGGCCCTGACTCAGAAAGGCCCTTTTCTTAGTTTAATGCTCTGCTGTCACCATTTTGACATTCTTAATCAGTTTTGAACAGGGCCTCACATTTTCATGTTGCACTGGGCTCCACAAATTATGTAGCCAGTCCTATCTGAGAATCTATATGCTTAATGCTCCAAAGCCAGGAATAGATTCCTTCTTATTTTTCTTCTTTTTTCTTTCACCTCCTCTCCCTTTCTGTTTCCTGTGGTCACATCCTTTCTCTGAGGCCATGAACACACAATAGCTTAGATGGCTGAAATGGAGGTGGTGAGGAGAGCCAAGGGGGAAAAGAAAATACTTGAGGAAAATTTTGGTTAGTATTTCAAATATATTTTCCTGTTACATAGAAATAATCAGTTTGCTGCTGTTGTTCCACAGTAGTATGAGTTTGCAAGTTATTGGTGAAACACAACTTTTGCCCCTTCTGCTTGAAATAGCACTGCCTCTGTCTGCCACCCAACAGCTTCTTATATAATAGCTGTCTTCCCCTCTCTGCAGTCATCCATTCTAAATGAGTTAGGTTATGATGATCATGTCAATGCTTTCAGACTAGCTCTATTCCAGAACCTCTTTATTGATTAGCCCACCTAGATGTTTAATGTTTGGTATGGTTCAAAAGTGTTTTTGATGAAACTGTTCAAAAAACTAGATGTGATGTTAGTACCTTAGATCTCACAGGCTGGGCAGTTAGGCTTCACAGATGTAATCTTAGTCAAGGCTCTTTGGATTTAAATCAACAAAACTTATCTTAAGCTTCAAAAAGGAAATCATCACAAGGCAACAAGGTATATTCTTTGTTCCAGAATATAACCTAGAACAAATAGAACCTAGAACAAAACAACAAACAAGGTCTCAATGTTCATGGAACTAACATTTTAGGATATCATGGCATATATCAGCTAACATATACTGAGTGCTCACCTTGGGCTAGGCACTGGACTAAATGCTTCACACATTAATTTATTTTGTCCTCAGAACAACTCTACACATAATGTACTATTCTTATCATCCACATTTGGTTGAGGAAGAAATGAAGGCACAGAGTGATTAAGTACTTGCTTGAGGTCACATAACTGATGGGTATTACAGCTAAAATTAGAACCCAAGTGGTCTAGCTCCAGAATCTGTGCATTTCACCACCTCTAGCTGCCTCTGGAACACAAGTCCAGGACATACAAGTGGGAATAACAAGGGATTAGAGCCAAGAACTTGGAAGTTGTCAGGAACCAAGGTTCTATTCTCTTAGGCTTATTTCCTCTGGGGCTGCACAGTTTACTTTTTACTGCTGTATTCATTTGACTCTCTCTCTCTTTCTCTGCAGATTAGATTTTTCAGTTTCTCCTTGAACACAGATGAAGATGGTCACCTCACTGTGACAGCCTCAGCCTGTACCTGTACATCAAGACTATTCAGGCAACCAATCAGATGCTCGAGTCCCAATTTTAAATCCTCAGAGGATAAAAGCATGATTTGCCCAAATTGTTTCAAGTACCTACCCCTTGTCTAATCAGCCATGATCAGAGAGGTAGGGGCTTTGTATAATATAAACGAGGCTTTAGGGGCCCAATGTGGTGGGTAGGATCATTCCCAGTAACAAGGCAATGTGGGTGAGGTATGTCAAAAATATCTGCACATCTACCTTTATCAAGGTATTGTGTGGTGGGAGAATCATTGATGACACCAACCTGAATAGGTACAATGTTGGGGAAATCATGTATTATGGACTGCATTGTGTTCCCTTCTCTCCTCTATCCCATATGTTGAAGCTCTAACCCTTAATGTTACTGTATTTGAAGATAAGGCCTTTAAGGAGGTAATTAAGGTTTAATGAGGTCATAAGGGTGGGACCCTAATTCAGTATGACTAGTGTCCTTATACAAAGGGAGAGAGACACCAGATACCTGCCTGTACAGGGAAAAGGCCATGTGAGGACACAGAGAGAAGACAATCTTCTGCAAACCAAGGAAAGAGGCCTCAGGAGCACCCTAACCTACTGATATTTTGATCCTGGACTTGCAGCCTCCAGGACTGTGAGAAATAAATTTCAGTTGTTTAAGCCACCCATTCGGTGGTATTTTATTATGGCAGACCTAGCAAACCAATACATCATGTAACCTCTCTGCGCCTCTACATTGTTTGCAAAAGAAGAGTTCTACAGGTAATAATCCTTATAGGTTTTTCCAACTCTAAATTCAGGTGATTCAGCTTGAGTGTGGTTTTGGGGTTGGATAAAGTGTGCCTGCCATATCAATTAATAGCAGTAAATGTCATTTGGGAGTTACAAAGCACATTTTGTGTAAAATCTTTTTTATAGGTTTTCTTATTTTATCTATTTCATTAAGAAGGAGAAAGATTCTATGATCTGACATCGTGACATTTTTTTCCTGGATGTCACATCTGTGGATTGAGAACACCATATGACAAAAAGCTGCTATAAATTTAATAATGTATTTTAAAATTTCTTGGTCATAATGAACTCCTACCCATCAGTCCCAGTTGTATCCTCTGATTTTGGTTTATTTTGTTAGTATCACTTTAAAAATGGGGGCCCCAGAATTTAATCAAGTTCTCTACATATGGTTGGATGAGAGAAGAGAAGTTGTGGACAGTCGATTTTTATTAATGCAGCCCAAGATTACATTAGCATTTTTGTTAGTCATTCTTCCTGCAGTTGATCAGATATCCCTTCCTCAGGATGTTTCTCTTTATGTCCATCCGCAGAAACCTATGCAGTACTCTATCACCCAGATTTGTAATAATTTGTTTAACAGTCTATTTCCCTCACTTGACTCTGAGCAACATGAGGGCAGAAATTATGTTGTTTATTTCCTCATTTTTACTGAATCTTCAGTGTTTAACACAACATCTGGTCCTGGAAAGATTTGGCATACATTTGCTGAATTAAATGAATGAATACAATTGTTTTGAAAAATTAAAATATTAGCAAATAAATGGAATTATTATTATGCTTCTACAGGCGTATGGGGCAATTTTATGGCTGGTCTGAATTATCTTAATCTCTGAATCAGCTGGAGTGTTTCGAACACAACTTTGAGCAAGCAGCTTGAAGATAGATGCAAATACATAGATAGTTCTTCAGAATAATTATTTTATGTTCAGACTAGACATGAATAATCTTTACCTCTCAGTGTTGGCCAGGAAAAATATTTGAATGATTCCAATATATTATTTACGATTTTGTGTATGTGTGTGAGAGAGAGGGACAGAGAGAAAGAGACATATGAAGAGAGAGTGTGAAGTGAGGAAAGGCTGAGAAAAGACAGAACGATGTTAAAAGGTTAGATCTCTGTGTTTGAAGGGCTTCGAGTCTAATGGAAGAGACCAACTGGGAAATGGATAATTACAGTACAGAATTATTAGAACAGGAAACCTGTGTCATTTAATGTGATCTAGCTCTTACTGAGGTAGCCAGGAAATCTTTCACAGATAAAGTAAAATTTGATTTTAGCCTTGAGGACGAAAGGATCAATGCTCTTTTTGCCAGAGCAGAAGGGAACAAAGTTCCACATGACTAATTTGATTTTCACATCTTCTTAGCCTTTCCAAAGTTCAGTTTTTTGTTGAGCTTTTTATTACCTTTTCATAACTGAAACCGACTTCTCTGAATGGAATATGTCTCTCTCATGTTCTAGAATGACTGAGGAGATGACACTCTAGACTGAAAGTGGCAGCAGTCATGAAGTGACAGCCTCATACCAGTTTGGTTTGCCATTAATGAGCTATGTGATCTTAGGCGAGACACTTACTCTTTCCAGGCCTAAAGGGTTTGAGCAGGTAGGCTTCTCTGTTCCCTTCCAGTTCTAAGAATTTGTGAGCCTTTGAAAAAGACATTGGGCTCTGGTATTAAGGAGATTTTTGCATTTCACTGCTAGAAATTATGCTTCCCTGTTCCCCAAGGAGTAAAAGAAACGTAGTCTATGTACTACTGCAACTACTTTAAATTTTTCTTATTTTTTTAAAAGTAAATATTTTAGACTTTTCTGATTAAAGTATAACCAAATTCTAATTCACTATCCGGTGTTTGCCTCCTATAGAACCTACTGGCCCTTTAAAAAAAAAAAAAAGAAGAGGGCAAGAGGGCGCGGCCCAGAGACTGGGGTGCAACTAATCCGGCTTCTTCCGGGAAAGTCACCCGAAGACCAGTCGTATGGCATCCTGGGACTTGTAGTTTACCTTAGAGACTCTCTCCGTTATTAACTCCTTGTTTTTGAGCATGAGATGGACTACAACTCCCAGAGGGCCAAGCGACAGCAGCGGGGTCCTGTACACTCGCTGCTGCTGGGCGGCTAGTTCAAGTTGCCATAGCTGCGAGTCTGGGGACAGCAGAGTCGGTTGCGCCGCAGCGTCTGGTCAGTTGCACCTTGTGGGTCACTGGTGGCTGTGGGAGCCGGGTGGGGCCTCGGCGATGATCCGGCATTAAGGGCCTGGAGTCCTCTTCTATCTCAGGTACCTGCTCCCAACCGCCCCTTTGCCCTTTCTTTACCACTTCCCTATCTTAACGTAGACGTTTTATGTCCCACTTCCCCTCGTCCCAAGGGTGGGGATACCAAAGCTGCGCGAAGATCTGGGGCAGGGCTGTGGATGGGTGGAGTGTGTGTCAAAGGTCGGAGAAGACGGTGGGCCTGGTGTCCCGACGCCCGCCTTCCTTAGCATGGGTGTCCACAGTCAGGTCCTGGCCAAATTATCCAGGGAATTTGTCCTCTTTTTGGGAGCAGCCTGTCCTTCTGGTAGAAGCTGCGAGGCTTGAGCTGTCAAGCAGATTGGCCTCATTCTGGCTGTACTTGCCTGGCCTGGGATATAACTTGACGTTTTGTACCGGTTCTATAGTTAACAAAAGTTTGCTACCCGCAGGGACGCTGTATCGGTGACCTGCCTTTCCTCTGCCAACATGGGAGTTGCCCCAACGTTAGCTAACAGTCGGTTTGAGTTATTTCTTAGGAACACCTGACACTAAATTCCAGCTGCATCCTTTATTGGGTTAATGGAGCTTATTGCTTTTGCAGAAGTCCTGTAAAATGGCTTTGCAGCATTGTTCTGAGTATTATGTAAAGTCTCTAGCATAGGGTCTGGCACGGTGGAAGAGCTGGGTACGTATCATTTATTTTTATGAGTTATGCAGAACTGTGCTAATAAAAATATAATGTGAGCCACACGTGCAAGTTTAAATCTTCTAGTACCCACATTAAACAAGTAAAAAAGAAACTGGTGAAATTAATTTTAATAATTTATTTAGCACAATATATCCAACATTTTTTCATGTAGTCAATATGAAACTTGAGATATTTTACATCCTGTTTTTTTAAAATGGTACTAAGTCTTCAGAATCTGGAGTGTATTTTATACTAACAGCACATGTCAGTTTGAACTGGCCCGATTTCAAGAGCTCACTAGCCACATTAGTGACTACTGTATTGGACAGCACAGATAGAAGATTAAAACTTTGGCAGTTTCACATTGGCAAAGAGAGGTTTGGTTGTCTCTGACTCATGTCATGGGGCGAGGGTTGCTGCTTTGTTAGAAGAGTGAAGTATGCTTCATACCTGTGTCCGCTCAACACATCCTCTCTCATCGCACGACCTGGGTCCCTTTGAACTCTCTCTGGACAGTTTATTTTGATTAACTTTTCCAGAATACCTTTTTTCTTGAGGTGGTTTGTGGACAACTACCAGTTCTGTGGGTAACTTTCTGTGGATTCTAACAGACTGCTTTGAGAGCAGTCTCAAAGAATTGAAAATATTTCTGTCCACAGCTCTTTCCTACAGCCAAAGACATTTTATGTATTTAATTGCAGTACTAAATGTGGGAAGAACTGGGCAGCTTTTAAAATACTTCGCTTAGGAGTGCTAGCATATAGTTCATTAACTGGCTTAGAAATACAGTTAGGGCATTAAATTCAGAAGTAACATGTTAATTTCATTACCTGCCTTAGTTTACCCCCTGATAGACATGCTCTGGGACAGTACTTTTGGCTAGACTTGTGCTACAATTCACACTGCAACGTGATCTAGCCAGCCCAAGGGGTGACCAGGCATGGGTGGAAGTCACCAGCATATGCTGGCCAGACATTTGGATGTGAAGAATTCCTGTGAGTTCAGTGGGGCTTTTGCATGACCCAAGGAGCATTTTCTCTCTTCTCTGATATGCCGTAAACAGTATATAGTGGGGGTGAGCTTATTGTCATGTTTTATTATTTAAAAAAATTTAAGATTGTAGGTGTGTTTTACCCCCTTGTTTCATTTATCTGTAGGTGGTTTGGGAAATTGTAGGGGCAACTAAAGATCATCTACTTGACTAGGCCTTTTGCCCTGAACCTCATGAAGAAATGATAGGAGGCAGACATATGTGCCTACGAAGAGCACTGAGCTCAGAGGAGAGCAGCACGGAGTTTTGGGGGTGCGCTTTGTAAGTATGCTTTCTCCCTGAGTTTCTGCGATAACGAATTTTTGCATATTTATAGTGGAAAAGAATATGTCAACAAATAGACTTTTGAGGGGCAAGAAACCCCTAACATGTAGTCTAAAAATAAAATAGGATGGTTGTGCATACATTGTTACAAAAATTCAGGAGAACAAACTAGGTACCTTAACAAAAGCAACAATGATACAACTGTTTCTGTTAGACAACCTATTGAGAACCTATTTTGTCCCAGGCGGTGTATTAGGCACATTTTTACATGTTATATATATATATATATATTTTATGCTTTTTATTATGTTTATTTTCATTTTACAGTTTTATTATGCTTATCTTCATTTTACAAGTGAGGCAGTTAAGGCTCAAAAAGGTTATTTGATTTGCTTGGGATTCTGGAGCTAAAAGAGAGGCCTTCATCCCCAGGTCTTCTGACTCTAAATCCAAGTCCTGCCCATTACAAAGAGGCCACATTGCTGTTTATGATTGTCCTCTAATAGGACTTGAATGATAGCGTTTTTAGATTAAGTGTACCATATACAGCAGCATTTACTGTTATTTATCTTTTTAAATGTTCAAAGGGTTCTATTATCTTTCTTAGTTTTTTCAAGATATGTATAATGGTCTTTATATTATTATTGAGATAAGAGAGAGTTGTAATTTGTGATTTTTGTAAAATGTACATATTCAACATGAATTGTGATTGATAATCAAGGATATAGTGTTAACCCAATTTTAGCAACATATACTTAAAAGTCTGGACACTTTTTAGCATTTTCGTGTTGCATTTTGATAAAGGGCACTTAGATATATAGGGGAGACTCGTTAGGGCCTTGTAATAACACTGTGTCCGAGATCTATGCTATACAAAGTTCCTAGAATTAAAGAATTTTAGGGCTGGAGGGGCCTGATAGGATACTTTAGCCCAGAAATTCTCAACTGCCGTCTTGACACATTTGGGAATGATATAAAAATAATCTAGAGTAGATTCATTGTTATCTATGTAATAATGTCACTGGGTTGATTCTAATATGAAATGTTTCAATATATTCATACTATTCTATAGTGTGTTTTTCTTTTTGTAATAATGTATTATTACATGTAAACACATAAAATTCTACCTTGTTTTTTTTAACTGCTACATAGAATCCCAAATGACAAGATACATTTAATGTATCCCTTATTAGTGGATTTGTGTTTTTTTCTTATTTTTTTTACTACTATAAATAATTCTGCAATGAAACTCTTATCTACAAATGAGATGTGTACATATATTTTATATATGTATACATATATACATCTCCTTTTGTTTTCCTAGGATGATATTCATAGAAGTAGAATCTTTGGGTCAAAACACATGCATATTACTTATTTTTACTTGTCTTGCCAGATTGTTCTCCAGAAAAGCTATTCTAGTTAATATTCTTAGAGCAAGGTGTGCCCTTGTCAACCCTGGTGGTGAGAGCTTTTTTTCATCTGTACAAAACAGATAAACAAGAATATCATTTTATTAGTTTCATTTACAATTCTTTAGTGAAATAAAGTGTGTTATACATTTATTAGGGCCATTTATATTCTGTGAATTGCCTCTTTATATATCCTTTGTACCTTTTACTATTTTTTTTTAAAAAAGATGATGAAGTCTTTGGTTCCTATATAATGCAGATATTTTTCTGAGTTCTTTAGTTTTCTAACCTTGTTTCTGGTGTCTTGTTATCAATAATTATGAATGATCCTAAGAGGCTTATCAGGCCTTTATCACATATTCACACTTGCCTGAAATTTGTATAACCTTTAACATAGATCTGTACATTGCTTGTGCTTGGAGTGTTTGGGAGATGGGAGTATTTGTGGTTACATGAATTCATTTAGTTGATGAGCATTTAGAATCTACTGTATGCACAGGGTTTGCCATGAAACAGGTGCTCATGTATAAATGAATGAATGCTCGTGAATGAATGAGCTCATAGAAGAATGGATAAGTGAATTAAAGCTAAGTCTGAATTAGGCTCTTCTGAATGAAGAGAGACATTGTGGAAGTAGTGAACTATGATTATTACTTTAAAGGAATAAGAGAGAGGGAATTTTATACATTGTAGAAAGAAGGAAAAAGCTTGATGGTGGAAGAGTGAAGGCTTCAAAATGGCGAGAATGGGTTTACTTATGAGCGGCAGTTGGTACATTGAAACAGTGCTGAGAATGGACCCAGATGATAAAGAGCCTGGGAAGTTTGGAGATTAGAGCTTTATAGAACAGATAAATAATAATTGAGGAATGCAGGTAGCTGCAAATGACAATGATGAAATTATGTGCAATAATTCAAGCAAATCTTCTAGGTTTGATTCAGTTATATGTTTTAACACATGTATTCAAATGAATTTCAAATGTTTATCTTTGTTTACTCTAGAATAGACATATCAAATCTTCATATTTATACTATTTTGCAGTTTGATCCATATTATTTGAAGACTTAAGATAATTAATCTAGGCCATTTACCACAAGAATTATTTCATCCAATGATTATATTTAATTAGTACTTAGTAATCACAAAGTCCTGTACTTTGAAATTTGTCTCTGGATTAATCAGACAGGATAATAAGGATAATTTAATTGTAAATTCATTTAAAAATGTTCCAACTACATGCCAGGCACTATGCTAGGTGTTGAAATACAACTGTGAACAAAATAAATGCAGTCTCCAATGAGATTTAGTCTACTGGGGGGACAGACAAGTAAAGAGCTGTGATGAGGTGGTGTCCATTGTGGGCACTTGGCTCAGAGTTGGGATGGGGGCAGTGCAGGAAGGCTTTCTAGGAGAAGTTTCCTCTAAACTGAGACTTGAAGGAAAAGTAGGCGTTAGCCAAGGGAAAAGGAGTGAAAAGAATGTTCCAAGCAGTGAATCCAGCATAGGTTTGATGGTGAGATGAGCATGACATATTTGAGAATTTGAAAAAAAAAAAGTTTCCTGGCACAAATAATTACATTTCATGGACATGTTTAATAAATGTCTTGCTATAATTGTAGAGCTTTAAGAATGCAGAGGGCGGAAAGATCACTTCTGGCTGGAGATGGAAGGCTGCACTTGAGATTGTATTATTTGAGCTATGTCTGGAAAGATGAGTGGAATTTGAATGGATGGCAATAGTAGACAGCAGAAGGCATTCCAGACAGAACTACTGACATTAGTGAAGGATGAAAGTGGTAGGAAAATAGCTGGTGTAACAGCTGAACGTAGGCCTTATGTTTTCTGTGGTTTTTTTTGTTGAAGAGAAGAGTGGCTTGCTGAGGGTCTTAAATTTCGGATTCAAGAATCTAGACTCAATCATGTGGGCAGTGGGAATCTGGGCCTTGGAGAAAGGTTCAAGGCTCGGCTCTGCCACTTGGTAGCTGTGTAACCTTGGGTATCTTACTTAGCTGCTTTAAGCCTCTTGTGTATATAGCATGATGAAAATAGTACTTACCTTATAGAGTTATAGTCATACAACAATCTGTGATGTTACAGCATTAGCTATTCACCATTATTATTTCAACTTGTGTTTTTTGGAGGTTTTTGAAATTGAAGTTCTTAACTGTGGTTCCCATCTATGTACTCCCAATAATTAAATATAATTGATTTTAAATGATATTGAACTGTATTTCATTATAATTGGATTTCTTTCTAATCCTTTATCTTTTTAAATTTGTATGTATATATTTAAAAACATTCCAGGAAACTGTTCTTGGTACAAAGTTAAGAACTCCCATTACCTTTTTTTAAATTTAGAAATTTGTATTGTATTTTGGAAAGAATATACAAATCATTCTGTTTATTCACTTTTAAAATTAAGAATGAGAAATACAAAATTCTTGAATAGACATGTCAATAAGTACAATGAAAATGAATTCCAGTTCTTTATTATAGAAGAGTTAAAAGAAAGATCTAAAGATATAACGTAAAAGAAGAGCGAGGGAAGAAAGAAAGATGGGGACTGAGAAAGAGTGAAGGAAAAAGAGAAATAGAAAATACATATCCACTGAAGAGAAAATGCCTTTTTTAAAAGGTTTTAGGATGTGGTCTCTGAAAAAATAGGAGTGATTTTCTGCCTAAAAGAAGTTGTAAATATTCTTTTTTTTTTTTTGTGAGGAAGATCAGCCCTGAGCTAACATCCTTACCAATCCTCCTCTTTTTGCTGAGGAAGACTGGCCCTGGGCTAACATTTGTGCCCATCTTCCTCCACTTTATATGGGATGCCGCCACAGCATGGCCTGACAAGCAGTGCCTCTGTGCACGCCCGGGATCCGAACCCGGGCCGCCAGCAGCGGAGTCCGTGCACTTAACCACTACGCCATGGCGCTGGCCCCAAGTTGTAAATATTCTTAACAAGAGAAAGGATTATTTAAAAGACATCTTAAAAGAGCTGTAGAAAGTTGGATTTATAGCAGATTTACGTATTTAATACTTTATTATCTTATATTCAGTGTATAAACCTTTAGTTCTAAGTAAATAAGTAGAGATGGAATTTTCTGGCCTTCAGTGCATTTCTTGGAGGGGAGAGGATGGATCATAAGAAATATGGTAGGGAAGGACAAAGAAAATATTTCAGTGAATGGGCAATGTATTTGGCATTTACAAAATTCTTTTGCAACTAAGAATGCTGTGGAAGAAGCACTTGCTTAGAGACATAAGATATGAGTTCTCTTCTGTTATTGTAACTTTTTAGCCAAGCAACTGTGGACAAGTATTTTACTCAAAGCTTCATTTTCCTTTAGCAGCGAAAGTAAAGGGTTGTCATTATACTAACTTTACAGGATTGAAATGGAGATCAAAAGAGAAAATGCTAATGAAAATGCTTTGTAAAGCATAAAGCAATATGCAGATTTAAGGTATAAATAGCAATAAGAAATATTTCCCTTAAAATTTCTAGTGTTGTTTCATTCACTAGGAAAGTCAAGAAGAGTTTCTGTTTCTGCTTTAAAAACTAGGAGGAAGAAAACAAGTATGCTTTATAAT